GCTTCTGCAACATCCTGCCCAGCAATCTCCTTTTCCCCTCCAGCTGCCCCTCAAGTGTCCTCCACATGTTTCTTTTCCCTCTTTCTCTGCTAAATACAGGTTCTGCCTCTATCACATCCACTGCACTGCTACCTTGCAGAATGGAGCCCATGAAGCACTGAGCTACGTCCTCAGACCTTCTTATTTTTTTAGTCAGGGCTTTGCTAAATTGCCCAGAATGGCCTTCAACTTGTGATCCTCCTGTCTTGGTCTCCCATTGCTGGATGACAATCAAGCACCACCATGCCTGGCTGCCTATGTAGCTCTTTCTCAGCAAGTTCATCCTCACCTGTGGTGTAAGTGCCCATTTAATTGATGTGCTAGCTTCACACATCCTTGGTTAGCCAAACTTACATTGCCAGCTGCCTTCATGTACTTTTAATGCCCATAGGCACTTCAATTTAATACGTCCAAAATGGAATTTATGATTCATTCATTTCCAAAAACGACTTCAATATGTCCTGTCCTGGTAGACAACTACTGCCCACCCAGCTACTTGGCCAGACACATAGGAGTGAGCCAAACTTGCTCCACCTCCCCCAGGTTAGGTGGCTTCAACAGCTAGCCATGTGCTGTAACAATTCCTCAAGCCTTCCTGTTACCTCCCTTTGTCAGCCACCACAGAATTTTCCTGGGTCGTCCCTTTTCCTTCCCTTTTCTGCATCATTTTTGTGCTCCCTGCTGACAGCTGTACTTCTCTCCAGCCTTAAGAATTGATGCATCTCTTAATTCAATGAATAGAGAGGTTTGTTTTAATAGTATTTGAGACAGGATATCAGGATATATTAAGACAATATGCAATGTATTATTGAAAATGTAGGGGCCGGAGAGATGGCTCAGTAGAATAAGCGCTTCCCTGGCAAGTGCAAGGGCCTGAGTTCAATCCCCAGTTCTGAAAAAAAAAAAAAAAAAAAAGACAAAAAAGAAAAGAAAATGTACTAGTAATCGGTTTTGAAACTGTCTCGTTTTCATTTGTTTCTCAATAAAAATATTTAAAAATAATAAAATAAAAATTAAGCCCCCTCAAAAAGAATTGATGCTGTTTTTATCTTTGTTCTTATTCATATAATGCCTTTTTTTGTTTTTTTTTTTTTTGCAGGTTTGCCTTATTTTATGAATTTTG